ATACAATTAAGATTTCTAAAGAGTTGTTTTATTGCGATTATTATTTAATTTAGCGGAAATTTATGACTGGCTGATGTGATTATGAAAAACTTTCTGACTAGGCGTGGTGCTGTTTGTAGATAAAGTGAATTTTTTTCTGAGCTGATTTGTTGAGAATGTAACGGACATTTAATATTCGAATTGAATTAGTTGATCGCCCCGTTTAAGGTGCTGGTCCCCTCCATAGAAATATTAAACCTGTTTCCAATTGTCGAACAATAAACATCCTAGGGGTCGTTCACTTATTACGTTATGCAAAAAAACGACTTTTTTCACCCCCCCTTTTTTTTACAATATGTTACAACTCACAACCCCCCCCCCCCCCTGAACGTTCATAATTTATTTTATGATTAAAAATGGTGGAAAATTTAAAAAAATGTTTTCGGTGTGCATTTTCGTGAACTTATTTTTAAAAGACAGACGACAGTTGGAACGTTACATACTTCTTGACACCCCCCCCCCCCCCCCCCCCTTATGTTACATTTTGTTACAAATTTTCAAACCCCCTTTTCCCCCTAAAATGCGAACGTAATAAGTGAACGGCACCTTATTTATCTATTTACAATCTGTAAGGAGTCTTTAATTAAACTTATTAGTAATGCAACATAAAACGAACGATTTTTCATTAATATCAAGCCATACTATTGGGTTTTTGAAGATTGATATCAAAATTAAGTTTTCTTGGCAATCCAAATTGTCTTCTTTTAGAGAACTTAGTCATAAGTGTTCACATTTCGACAAAACTAAAGCTGATGCGCTATAGAATTCAATCCAAATATTCCATACTCACGCTCAACAACAATCCCTTTCATACCACTTCTAATTTATTTCATTTCGTTGTTGTTTTAGTCAGACAGAGAGAGCTAAACAAACACAAATAAAATGATACTCAAATCAAACACATAAAAACTGTTTGCAAAGGATTAAAATTCCATTATAATAGCAATAATAATTCAATATATCAGTAAACATCATTAAATCTTACTTTAATTTGATTATTTAGCAAGAAAACTTGTCTTGTTTCGAATTCGATCTACGCCTGTCAGTAAAAATGCAATTATCAGCTTACAGAATTAATGTTATTAAGTCATGCGATTGGCGAGTAATTGCTACAAATTAATCAATTAGAGGCGGTAGATTTCCGTTGCTGCGCTAAAATATTCTTCGCGAATGATCAAAAGACTTGGAATAGAAACATCATGAAATGAGTAGCGACAGTAATTGACAGGTCAAGATAGCCAAATACAAATTGTTTTCATGTTTTATTGATTTTGTAGAGCAGTTTCTAGTAATTTGATAAAAATTCTAATTTGCATTTTAAATTTATTCGACTGCTATTTATACTAGAAAATAGAGCAGCTTGAAGTTTATTTGAAAATGAGAATTTAATCAATTACAACATCCCTCAACCAACAATCCTTGCTAATCGACACCCATAAGCTGCAATATACGACTTCGGACACAAAATTTTAACAAACAAAGCAGAAAGGAAGAAAGTTTCCAATAAGTATTTCAATCGACATGTGTGCTTGACATGATAGATATTGCATCTTGCACAACTTATTTACACAATAAAATTCTTTTCTTTTCTTCTTCTTAAAGATAAAATTGCAAGTTGACGAGATGATTTACGTAACACTTTGCATCATAGCTTGAATGAATGTCATGTTGAAATTGTTTTATATTCCATGTTTACACTTTTTGCTTGTTACTTGTTTTTATTGAAAAAGTTTGCTGAAAGCTAAATTGAATTTTGAAAATGTTGGGATACTGGAAGCTGTTGGGAATTTTATTTAATACTCTCTCTGACAAATAAGTAGTTTTTCCTATCGCCATAAATTATGCTACCAAAAAAAAAGTCATCAACTTGAAGCGACAACATTAAAATGTCTCAATTACAAAATTATTTTTATAACCAATCAATCAAAAGAATTAAATTCATCGAATGGGAAATTTCAAGTTTCTTTCTATAGCTCTGAAAATGTGTCAAATGAGAAGATAACCAAAAGTCTCAATGAGCATAAAGAAGCCGCCACTGATATATTTTTCATGTTTGATGAAGTTTGACTTGCACTTGAGTTTGTGCATTGAACGCACTCATTTACAGCATAATCAAACTGAAGTGCATGCAAGTTCAAGCTAATCTTTAACTCTAGCTTTTATATCTCGTGTGCAGTTAAGTGCCTTGCTGGTCGAATAGGTAAGGCGCTTGGCTCAAATTTGGTATGGTAACTCGAAGGTCGTCGGTTCGAATCCAGCCATTTCCAAATTTGTTCTTTTTCAGAAGTTTAGATACTTCGACTGCTTAATGTACGAGATCATGCCATAATTGGGCATTTTGGGCAACGTTGGATTAAGGAACGGATCAGGAACTTGAAGTGTAGCGGGAGAAATAGGAACGAGAGCTACAAGATTACCTTATAATGGAATATTGTCAGAACGGACCTGAAATGTATCACGTCACGCCCACAAAAGATTGAAACGAGAGCCTGAATTTAATCGAAACTTAGATTTGAAGATTAGAAGCTTGATTCTACGTCACCCATAGTGATATGAAATGTATCACTAATCAATGTAAAAAGTAAAACATGTATAAATACTAATTCTTCCGGACGGTAACGTCGACAAATAAATAATAAATAACACTGCAACTATGTCTTTAAAAATGTGTGTATCTATTAAGCTAAAACATATTTAGAGCGACAATCTTAATTAAATTAACAACGAATGTTCTATGGAATATTGCCTTGAGAGTAAATGAAATCCCAGCTCTCAATTCACGACTCATCAATAATTTTTTTTTTTTTTATTCTCGTTTGTCATAACTTTTCTCATCTCTCTGAGGCATATTCAAGACTCTATATATATTTTTTTGCGGAAGCAATCGAGTTTGTCTGAAATGTCAATTCCCTCATTCATGCTATTGGGGATTGATTTTTCTTTTATTACAGTTTTCAGTCCATTTTTTTATTGATTTATTTGCTTTTAGAATTTATTTTTATTATTATTGCTGTTTATTATCGATTCCTCATACGCACCATCAAGTGACAATAGAGTAAAAGTCTATAAACCACATGAAACATGCCACCACGTAACTTATTTTGTGAGTTTATGACCACATACAATGAATTTTAAAATTGCGTGAAATTATTTGAAAATTTTAAAATTCTATGGCTACACACATAGACACAATTGATGACACTATCAATATGGATACACTATATGTGGCTATAAATAAACAAAACAGAACAATAAATTAATTTATAAAAATTTTACTCGATTCAATTCGAAATCATTGTTGTTTGAGGTGTGAAATGAAAGTCCACAAATGGATGCAGAAAAAGGTCTTTTGTTCCGGCAATTTCAATTAATTAGAGGCAAACAGTCAATAAAATGAACTCGTAGTTAATTGAGCGAGAGATGAAATGTCGATGGCAATCTTTGACCTCACTCTGATTACCAATTTACTATTTGATGTGCAAGATGAGGCAATTTGTAGGCGAGAATTTAGAATTTTTGAGTTGTCATGTGCTGCATAAGAACTAAAATAAACTTTTTATTTTAGAAAAAAAAAACAAGGAAAAATAATTTAATCTCTATGAATTAAAACACCCGCAATAGATTAGTTCGAACATGTGTATAGCAAAATTGTTTGTTTATTGATTTGAAAGCTATGGGATTTATTCACATATTACGTTCATAGTTTGATTGCGATAAGGAGGCCTTTTAAGTAAAAAATATAATTTTTGTAGAATTGTTTTATGACAAAGGGGTTACATTCAGTGAATGTTTTGATGGACGTCATAGATAAACAACCCCTAATGAGCATTGTTTTTATTTTGTTTTGTAAAATGACTCTAGGAACTAGATTGTCAACTTAAATATGACTTTTTATAAACAAATTTAAATTTATTACGAATAATTCACTATCCTTAATGTTCAGAGCATTAATTCCCGTTGGACAAAAGGCTTCTTTTCGAAATCATCCCTAAGTCGCTTTAAGTTCGCAGTTCATTAGGAATCTGCACATAAAATTGCCTACTTCATATCAATTGTGATCATTAATAACAATTCTTCCATAGCATTTACCTCTCCAACAATCTATCCAATTTCACCAAACCCTTATTGATTCATCAGCATGAGCTACTAAAAATAAAACATTTAAAGATTGTTTGCTCAATTAGCTTCAATTTATGAGACTATTTATGAAGGTACCAATTTTCTGACCCAAACTAATTAGACCAACTATTACAGTTGATTGTGCTTGATAACCATTTATCAGAATCAAATGATGATAAGTTTTATGGCGTCGATCAATTTTCTTTTAAGTGATGATGTTTTGATTTTTGTGTCCCTTTAGTAACCTTGGAAGTAAGTTGTTTGCTCATTTGAACATTTGAGCATGAGAAGTTGTAAAATGTTTTAAGGCAGCCGGTCTTGAAAACATCATTTTAATCTCACTTAAGCACTATCATGTTCAAGGGATTTTAATAGCTGTATAATGTTTCGACTAAGAATTATTGTTAATTAATCCTCTAAAATTCGTGTAAGGCAATTAAAAATTAAGCCTCATATTCCTACATATATCTTCTTATTCTATCAAAACTAAGTGATCTGATTAGTACAGCTTCAACAACACAACTAGGTCAAAAATAAAAATCAAGGTCATAAAGTTCAAATCCGCTCAGATTCCTATTTTCAGCTTCTTTAAATCAAATCAAAAACTTTTCACTTCTATCAAATGTTTGTTGGACCCTTAAAAATGAATGAGAAATGTTTCTTTTTGTAAGATTTATCGACTTCTTGTTATTTTTGTTTTACTACGCAGCTCACACTTTAAATATAAAAAAAAATCTTTTTATGAAGCTACATAAATTTTAATTAAATTTTCTTCTTTTATTTTTTTCATATGTGATCATCATCACCACTGCCCTGATCTAATAAAAAAATAATCAAATCAGCAAAATTATTTAATGGAGTTCGGATATCTACCGAAATCAAATTTAGAGACTGGAAATTTACGCACAGAAGAGCAATTAAGGAGTGCAATAAGAGAATTACAAAGGTATGCTGGAATCTCTGAGACGGGAACAATGGATGAAAAAACGAGAGTTTTGATGACATCACCACGATGTGGAGTGCCTGATTTAGGAGCTGATGACTTTCTAGCGCGAAACCGAAGGCTCCGGTTTAAACGCTATGTTATTCATGAAGGCCTAAAATGGACCAACAAGAATCTCACGTGGAGGTAAATTATAATTTTCACTTCCTTTTTTTTGCGTTCTATATTTTTTGCCATTCTTTTAATCATTCACATTTCCTGACATGCTGATTATCAAGCTATGTGGTAGCACAAACTGCACTTCCTCCTTTGTTATTTATTCATGACTTCAAAGTCCAAGATAAATGCATATTGTTTATGTATTCATAGCAACAGAGCATAATTAACTTGATGCTTTTTTTTTCCACTAACCGACTTACTTGATTATTCATAGAACAATAGGAAATTTGTAAAAAATAACAAGAGTCAGTAGAAATTAATGAATAAGGCGCAGTCGACTGTAAATCATGCGAATTATCAACATCCTTTAACAAACAGCTAATCGATACTTAAGCTACAACTATTTATATACATGAATGAATAATAATGCACATTTTATATTATAACTGCATAGTAAGAACTGTGCTTACTACATATTGATAAAAAGAAATTGTGTAACCGCTCTCGACATTGTCGCGCATTTTTATCAGCATTAATATAAAATATGTATTTTTCATTCATTCACTACAATTTTGAAATTCCATTATTTATTCTACAATTTACGATGTTTGTAGAATACATTTACAATAAACGATGGAGATAAGATGAATAAGAAATCTATAGAATAGAATTCTTTTTACAAATGTTTGTATACATTTTGAATATTTTTGGATTAATTTGGGGAAGTGAATTATCAGACTACCGTCATTTCATATAACATCCGTTAAATTTATATTCAAAAAAATTCAAATTTTTTATGGCCGTTATAATATTCAAAAATTTTTGACGGTTAAACCAGATTTTACCATGCACTTACTCATTTTTGCTCAAATTTTATTCTTAATAACGTTGAGAATGGATAAAAAAAATATAAAATTAATAATTTATGAAGAACTTTGGGATTTGTGCAGAATTGGTATTAATTAAAATAATTTATTGTTTACATAATGCAACTGTTTTTTGAAATTTGAATTTTCGGCTCTAATGTCGAAGAAATCGAAATTAATTTCGAAGAAGTCCGAAACGAAATGGCGGTAGTCTGTGAATTATATTTGATGAAAGAGTCACTGCTCTATGACTTACCCGATTAACCAAAAAGAAATATTTGAAATTGTTAAAAAATGCAAAAAATGATGATCTACAGAATAGAGAACGATAAATTCTAACATGAAGTTGAGATTCGAACTCATCATTCAATCCTAGATGGATTTTTATTTCAATTCTACTGCAGCAATCTTTTGGCTATTTCCCAATATAAATAAATAACCTCAATTCAAGTTTTCGATTCAAAAACAACCTCAATTAAAGACCTCTAATTGAAAAATTTCCACAATTAGCCCACTTACTGTTCATACTTTAAATTCTCAGTTGTAGTGTCTTAATGAGGTTCTTGTTAGAATTTTACACTCAATTTTCAGTATTTATTTATTTATTTGTTATTTGGGGTTTATTCAATTATGACGTCTATAAATGAGAGAATGTATAAAAACACTTGTCTTCTCTGAGATCATTTTTTAACAAGCAGATTCTGAAAACTCCATTTCACATGAGACATCATACACAAACGATCCCTTACCTTGCAATTTAAAAGTGCATTCAACAGTTTAACATCATGTAATTTAATTTGACACATGTCGTTCACAAATTGACTGCATTAAGTAAGTGGTGGGAATTTTTGCACTAATTTAATTGATTTTAATGACTTTTAATTCTTCGCTTTACATTCAATGACATTGAGGTACTTAATGTTGAAATTTAGAGTTTTGAAATAGTTTTTAAATAATTAGCATTGCTGCAACTACACTTATTTTGCCTCTAGTAATAAGAAAATCATAAAGACTAGCTTGCTGGCTCCTAGGAACTGTCCTCATACGGAAATAATGAACAATATTCGTCTCAATTTCCAACAGTAAGCCTGCCATCCATATACTATATGATCACCAATTATCCGCGAGTATCAGGTGACGAGATTACATTACAAAGTGTAGAGTATAAATTATAGATATAAATATTTCATAGCAGCACTTGCAATAATATGAAAGAGGATAAAAAAATTATGCTAATGACCTGAAACAGCAACCGGCGCTATAACACTTAACAGCTTCTCTCGGGAAAAAAGATATTGCCAGACAAATAAACAAAACATGAGAAGAAAAAAAAAAGAGAAGTAGCGAAAATATTTCATTCAAACATCTGATCGATGATTATACACAAAAAAAAAAAGGGAACGAGAAGATGAAAAAAAATTACGACTTTTTTTTCTGACAAATTAACATCCGTTTGCTCTCGTAAATTACTCTTTGCTGTCTACTCTATTCCTCTTATTTTTAGTTTTTTTTTTGTTCATTTGTCTTACAATTTGTATGCCAAAAGTACGTCAGGTCAGGGAGTATAGTCCATTTTTGAGAGCTTTTGTTAAGAATTGAAGTTTCTTTTGAGATATTTTGGCTGACTTGCTTTAAAAGTTAATAATTTCCAAAAATGCTATAAACGCTGGGGTCGGTTTGTGGAGCTAGCTGAAGCTACCATACTATTTAACTGATAATCAAGGTTTTCCTTTCCCGAATAGCGCAATGCGAATCTAGTAGTAAGCTGGTGTGACGCTGGCATGGTGCTGGATTTAAATCATCGTTCGTACCATCTAAGAGTTATGTCGGCTTGGTGATGGGTTTCTATTTGATTAATTGACATGTGCTATTCGGGTTTATATGGTAGCATTAAAATTAAACTGAAATAACCTTGCGAATGCGCCTTCAACATCTATTTGAATAACTTCCAAACTTTTCATCCTACTTGATAACATTTAAAATGTTTTTTTAAGAAAAAAATAAATTCATTCATCAAAGTTGGAATGAGGAAGAGAATCAAAGAGATTTCTTGCTCATTTAAAAGTGACTTTTGTTATTATAAACATTTCTACAAAATGGGAAAACTCAGTGTGATATCAAATTTTTACGGGATTTTTTGATGACTTTGAATCTTTAAAATGAAAATTTATTGAGGAACTAAAGATGATGATGATGATGGATTTTTATTATGGCTGTCATATCGAAAGTGAAAGTTGTTTATTGAGTTGATGACTTAGATTTTTGATTCCTGGAAGACTTTATAAGGATTTAAGGAATGATTTTGATGTAATTAAATTTGAGGTCTTTCCTTATTGAAGACACGACCTTTTCGGGGTAAATTATTGAATTCAAAGAATGCAGCTGGACGCACTTCTTGTTCCAATTTAATATTTAAATTTATTTCTTATTCATTCATTCTCTCGCTTTGTTTATTTATGAGCTTTTGATCATTACAAATTGTTTAAATTAATGTGGATGTTATGGACCTTTTAAGATACGACAGACATTGTAATATAAGAATAATTGATCATGATGTTCAAGTCAGTCTTCTGTTAACACTCTAAATACTTTTTATGTATTTTCATTTGTTTTGAGTGTTCATTTTATGGATCTAAAAACTTTTTTCTTGTCAGCTGGTTTGGAGAAGTATTATAATTTTCATTATCTGTGAGTCATTTATCATGTGATTATCAAAACATGTCTACATTAAAGCTTGACTAGCCTCAATTCTAGTCCAACTATCTATAAGTCATATGGTAAGAATTATTTGTGTAGAAAATTACAATCAAATGTCAACGATTAAAAGAATGGCAAAAATTAAAGCAACAACTTTTTTTTTAGAATACTAACATGCAGAGGTCGAAGCGAGCATAGCGAAGCGAGTTTTTAGCGAGCTCGCTTCGCTAAAAATTCAACTTGCTAAAGTTGACCTGTAGCGAGAATTTTTTTTTTCTTTTCGCCTTAGCGAACTATAGCGAACTCAATTTTATTTTTTTCGCTTTAGCGAACTATTAGCGAACTTAATTTTTCAAAGTTCGCTATAGCGAACTATTGGCGAACTAGAAAAATTTTTTTGGCTTCATATTAAGAGATGTCTGATTGCGTTTGTGAAGTATGTAATTTCATACAAAATTGCAAAAAATTATAGTTCGCTATAGCGAACTTTGAAAAATTAAGTTCGCTAATAGTTCGCTAAAGCGAAAAAAATAAAATTGAGTTCGCTATGGTTCGCTAAGGCGATTAGAAAAAATTTTTTCTCGCTACAGTTCGACTTTGGCAAGTTGAATTTTTAGCGAAGCGAACTTGGCGAACCAAGTTCGCTTCGACCTCTGCTAACATGTGACTTTTATATATTAATGGGGTCAGAGAACTAATTTGCTATAAAAAATTGTGTTGATAAAGTTTTAATTTTTATTTCTAAACGAAATTAATTTTTGTAAGTTAAAAATAATTAATGATTTTTTTGTGTGACTAAAAGTTTTGTGCTGTTAGTGAAATTTGAGAATTATTAAGTCTAATTTTTCAAACAATTAACAAGTTTGTGTTACGTGAGCTCAAATTTTTGTTATTCAACCTTTCAATCCCAACTCAATTAAAAGTTTCTCTGCTTATAATTTTATCCAGAAGTTTGAATTTTTTAACTTAATAATCGTCAATCCCCTAAAATTTTCACATCATAATTTTTAAACTAATTTGTCTCATTTTCATTTTCATTTTGAATGTGTTTAAATTACAAACATGCACAACCAGAATACGCATTGTTTATATAACAAAACATAAAAATAATAATATTCGACTAATGAAATTTTATCCAAATTTATGAATGCTCATGCAGACATGAAACATTTAGCTCTCTCGCTTGAGCTATGTGTGTGGGGAGATTGCATTTATACATTTCATAATAAGGAATTATTCGCTTATTCCGTCCATAAAAAATTAGAATTTTTTGAATTGTATTTTCATACAAAAACCTTTCATTTGTATTGAGCAGACCTCCTCTCTTAAAATAAGAGATATCAAAAATGAATGAACCCTAAAGCAACTGCATATGCATCCATCATGAATCATGAATATTAAATATCATGACATGCATATCCAATGTAACACATAATGTGAAAATAAATAGAAATAAACATAATTATAACATTAAACAGCATTTAGGAGGCCCTTGGAAAAGTTTTATCAAATTCATTGACATATTTTGAGTATGGTGGATGTAAGAGTGCACCACAAGTCTCTCAATAACTGTCAAAAAAAATAAATCATTTCCAAGAAATGACATCAGGGACGTAGCCAGTCATTGTGTGCATAGGACTCTCTGGCTATGTTCCCGACTGACATCTAACAGCATCCCCAATGCAAGCATGTGTGACTAAACTAAGTGTGATATAAATTAATGATAAAAATGTCTGCATTAACACAAATAACAAATAATTCAAGTGCTTATAAAAAGAAATAAAAAAACATTGTGCCCATCCCAGAGACATCAAGGCCTCATCATTATTATCTCTTTGTTTACTCACTCAATTTGGTGTGATGTGCACATTTAGTTCATTTTTCATGAAGAAAACTTACAATCATATTGCATATATAATTCCACTCAATTGATGGAATGAATCGCTCATCGTCATCGTCGAAAATTGCACACTTTCATGTAGCGCCAGCATCGCATGTGCTTCATTGAAAGTGCGCTACGAAAATGTCATGCAACATATAGAAAAAAAAATATTTTGATACAATGAAAATGAAAAAAAATCCATCACAACCTTTTGAGTGAGCGAACAATTGATAAATGCTCATCAAGGCAGAATGAAGAGAAGATGGAGATGATACCCGCAAGCAGCTTCTGTAAATGCATTTTGCTATTTGAGAGATTTATTGAATTAATTTAGTGGGAAATTAGCTATTGTGAAATTACGAGTGAAGAGTTTATCATAACATGTGCAGTGCTATTTAATACATAATATTATTAATTCATTTTCCGGTGCTGGTTGGGAAGCTACAAAACAAACTAACAATAATAAAAATTATTTGATCTCCAATTCAAATTACTCTTTTGATTTTAATTCCATTTGTTCTTTTCTTTCTTTTTATAGCTTAGTGAATCAAACCATGACTAATTTAAGTCCTGGCCTAGCACGACGAATCTTTCATGAAGCGCTAGCCGTCTGGTCGAAGAGTTCAAATTTAAATTTTCGTGAAGTCAACGATCCTAATGCCGATATACAAATTATGTTTGCCAAGTGAGTACATTTTTGATGATTTTTTTAAAGGTTGAATCAGTTTGTCGGGCAATGATGGGTTTTCAGGACATTTTATGGTCTAGGTTATTGTATACTCACTTGAGTACGTCGTCACATGATACTGGATTCTATTTAGCGTTGATAAATCATTTGATGATGAAGCCTTAGTCGGACTAACCTAGAGAATCCTCCTTAGAGCAACTCAAAGTACTCTGGTTCAGAAAAAAAAAATCCCCATCAAGCTGATTCGACATAATAATGCGCTTTATAAAACCTCCCACATCCAGAAGCATCTTCAACTCATTCAAGTATTTTTAATGAAATTAAATTGAGGCAATTTGTGTGACGCAAAGTATAAATTACAGTTCGGTCATGGTGGTGCATATTTGTAGGGATTGAAGCTCAATTTTTTGCTCTTTTGTATTTTTAACTCAAATATGTTTACGTCATTCTCCCGAAAAAATGTAAGAATCATGAAACAAGAAGCCATACAACAGAAATAAATCCAATCAATGTTCAGTAATTTAAGCCTTTTTTGCCGCGGAAGACTCTGAAATATTTTTCTTCCACCTCATTCATTCATTCATGTTACATTGATTCCCACACTTGAAAGGGTCGAAATATGAAAGATTAAAATATTGAATTGAGAATGAAAAGCATTAACAGAAGGTTGAAGCATAAATGAGTCAAAAAGTCGAGGAATGAATAAAAATAACATAGAAGATTAAAAATTTCGATGCTAAAAGAACTGACCCACATCTGCACATGATCACATAAGCATCATGAAGTAGATTTTTATTTTAAAAAAATCAGATGAGAATATTTTTTGGGTAGGAAGAAGCTTGAAACGACATTTTTTCATGATTGCATAACAAAAGTTCTTCTAAATTGCAATTATTCTCAGAACATCTCATGGACTGGGAATTGTCATAAATTTATTGAAGATTAATTTTGCGAAATATGACATAAATGTTATTAATATTGTGTGTTATAGCAGATCTTGGAGTCATGCTGACTTTTATTAATTATTATGCTCATCTGAATGCTTTTACAATGTTTTAATTTAAGAATCATTTAAAATTCATGTTTTTATTTCATTCGATGATTTTATGTTGGTTCCATAAATTTATCTTTTTTATAGCATTCTATAGCCTCTTTTTAGAATTAAGCTATATTAATTTTGCACGCGATATTTCGATTAATGTGAAGCTAGTCTATTAGATTTCTATGGATTTATAAGGAGTCATTTTATTTTAACTTCCATGAGTAAATAAGATTTTAGAGACCTCAAACTTTTTTAGGGATTATAGGACGTCCCCTCTAAATGATGAATACCATGAATAAATTGTTTAATATTCACAAATAGAGTCATTATTAAATTTACGAGCTCAAAAGTTCAAAACTATCAACTCTCAATTCCCAATTTGCATAATTATATGAAATTAGATAGACACATTGTAATATTCTATGACTTGAAGGCATTATTTCCATCTAGAAATTCCCTTCCATGTTTACAAACTTAATTTTTTATAGCTTTTCCATAAACTAAGCCACAACCGAGTCATCAACCTCTAATTATTCTATAAATACATTTTAATGCTGATTCCATTCGAGTATGATATTTGCCGGTGAATCAAAATCCCATAATTCATCTTGTGTTTATTTATTTTTGAATCTTCGCTCTTTTTTGACTCTAAAAATATTCAAATTCACACATCGCCATGACTCATGACGTCACATCATTTTCACGAAATTCCAAAGAGATCTCTTAAAACTCGATATTTTTTTTCTCATTCATTAATGAATCACAAAAATCAAATCTTTTTTTCGGGTGATGACTAAAAAAACTTAATTTGAATAAAAAATCATGTCGTAATGAAATTTACATGAGAAAAGATTTTTTGTGAAACTTTTATCTTAATTATGGACACAAAAGGTGTCAAAAACTAAATTTGAATTTTTCGCAGATAGAGTTTTTCTAGATTTTGGACTGTTATTGCTCTATTGAGATCGTTTTTAAAAGAATAGCTTCATAAAATTTTAATAGATAGCTGATCTTGAATATTTTGTGAGAATTTTCAGACAATCTTTATGATCCAGATGTTCATGAACATGCAGTAGGATTTAATATTTATCAAATTTAAAATAGAATCATTTTATTATGTCGTAAATCGCAAGCCAATGCCAATGACTCAAAGAAATTCATCACATGCACTTATCACAATTACTGTTTATTTTTGTAATTACGATGTCAAGTTATTTTTGAAGGAATATCCCAAACTGACTCATCCGACTGATAAATAATGATTTCTAGATAGTTTAATCGAACTCATCACTTTTTAAGTAAGCATTCAAGAGAGGCAATGGATCTAAACGATTTCTACGAAATTACTTAAAGATGAACAGAACAAGAAGAAGCAAAAATACATAAAAGACAACTGTCTACATCAAAACTAGCAAATTAAAGCAAAAAATGATCGATAAACAAAAGACACGCTTGGACTGTTTGTCGTTGCTTAGCAGAACATGGTCTTTTCTTTTTATTTCCTTCTTCTTCTCTTTCCGAATCGATTAAATAAGATGTAGACGTCGAGTTAAAGCTAATTCTGTTTGAATAACTTAGCAAAAATAAATTAATTACTCTGAACGAATATATAAAAAAAAAATATGAAAAGTTGAGCTGATGATTTATTTTAATAGCATTATATGTGATTGTTGTGGAGAACAAATGATTTTAGTAATTCAGCTTATGGAATTTATTTAGAAGTAAGGAAATATTAAGTTCAAGGTCAGGAAGGTTGAGATACTGAATTTGCGATTTTTAAGGTTTGTGGTTTGCCTTTTGTTTGCTCAAACTTTTGTCACATGGCATGGCATGTGTTATTATTAATAGCACCTTAAGAAGTAAGTTAATTCACAAGTTTTAGGAGTGTCAACGAATCTGTTAATATGACTTGGAATTTTTCATATATAAATAAACAAGAATAACCGCATAATGTAATTATCGAGGTGTCAAAAAGATAAAGGAACTTGGCTCGTTCTGTTATAAAATTTTAGATTAAGGCTTGCACATTTGGGATTTATGTCAAAAAATCTGAGCACTTCAAAACGTCAAATTCAACCTTAAATAATTTAAAAATTCATAAAATCTTATCAGTATACCTTAATTTAAATTTATAGACTCAGCACCTTAATTAGAAGTTTGAAAATTAAATAAAACAAATTTATTTGACACAAATGAATTTGATCTCTAATTTTTTATTGCTTGAATATCAGCATAAGTGATTCTTTTAACTACTTTTTGCCATATTTAGTGAACCATTAGCATATTGAAATTTTATGATATCAAGTCAATTATTTGTAGACCTCCAGGATATTAAACCAACATGGACTTTTTAAAATATTGATAAATTGAGTTGATCTAATTTGATATTGCCGTGTTGGAATTAAAAATAAAATTCAAGTTACACTCAACTTTTATTACATTGTTTAATCTATAATAAGACATTCTACAAGCTTCATTTCCAAAAATAAAACAATTCAAAAGAAATCTAAACTAAACATTATTTTTGAATCATTCACGATTCACCTAGTTATTTACGTCGAATGAATAGAATCGATCAAGAAAGTAAGGTTAATGACAAATGTTATCCAAGTCATTATCAGCTTTTGATAACGAATGATGTCAAAAATTTATCAGAAATACTCTCAAAATACACCTTAAAAGATGACTAATGATTTTCTTATACTAGAAACCTTTAAAAAATTTCGATAGAAATCAATTGTCATGTACGCAACTCGTCGATAATTAGTTTCCGCCAGTGATGCATAAACTTTTATATTTTTCTGTGAAAATAAACAGCTAATTGGAATTAAATTATCGTCAAACTACTAATTGAATGAATTGACAAAAAGAAGAAAGATATATTCGCACACACTGACAAAGCCAACAACGTAAGTAAGAGAAGATGGAATGATGAATCAACGTTAATGAATATTCACTTGTTTGTGGAGTTTCTGAAAGATATGAAAAGCAATTCGACGAATTTTCAGAAATATTCCAAGAATGCAAGAAGAATTTTTGTGTTGGGGATTTACAGGTGATTAAGATTGCAATAAGCTGTGATTTGTTGAGAATCAATCATTGAATTCTGAGCTGTTAATTGCTTTAGCATCACTTTTTACTCAATAATTAAAACAACACAAAGCCACCTCACTTGTTGAGGAAATACTGAAAGCCTGAATAATAATAGCATTGAATTAACTACGGAAGTTAATTAAAAGTAAAACAATGGGAGAAAGGAGGTCTTTGTGAATGTAATTTAATTCTGTTACAAAAATTCAATGGCTTTTTGCAGACATTTTTGTGTGATGAATAATGGCAGTTAAAGTGCTTTTATGGATTTGAAGAGAAATTGTTGTAGCATGTTACATGCTATGACAAATAATTTTAGGAATGTCTCTAACGGAACTTACTTGATTGCATTCGGAAACTCTCGAATCTCATCGGAAATCCTGAAAATTGTTTAAAATTCAAGCTGCACAAGTGCAATAAAAATCAATTCAGGTTGTTAGAGTTAAGTGTCATTCTTCCCGAACGGTACTCATTGTAATGATGGCTTCATGATGGCTAATAGGATAGCAAACCTACAAAAAACTAGTAGCCGCTGGATAGCTTTTTCCAAATAGATCCCAATACGGCTTCTTTTAAAGGTTCTGGTTCTCAGCTTTGATATGAACAGCACTTCCAAGTATTCCGATCGGGCTTTCCTTAAATATTTCAACAAATTGTCACTTAACATTTTAGTCATCTGCTACACTTCCCACAATGACACACATAGTGTAATTTTTGTCTGCTACAAAATTGAGACTTAAAAAGTTGTGAGCAATGTAAAGTCATGAAAAAAAATCCTATTAGAATCTATAGTAACGGATATAAAACCATAAAACTTTTTTAGTCATCATTGAAAGCTGCTCATGTAATTGAGAAAATTGTTTCTTGGAAAAGTAATGACCAGGGAATATTCAGCTTCAATAGTTTGATGCTGTTTTATTAGAAAAGTCTCAATTGTTCTCAATTTTTCTTATGAATGGAAGTAATGGAAATCATATGAATAAATTAAGAGTTATTGTCAATTTGCAACTTGCGTGGTTGTCGGTTAATTGAGATTTATTTAAGCTTCATTTTTCGATTTTAATATACTTTATTGCGATAAATATTTTTGACGAAATTTGATGAGTAATAAAAGTTAAGATGCTGAATTTATTTGAGAATCGTTTGGTTTAGCTTGAACCGTTCTATTGGATTTGGAACTTAATTTTCTGTCTAGTCTTTAGGATTAAGGATACATGATATTTTTTCATAGTGACTGGTATCAAGTCCATTACTTCGCCATTGAACATGAACTTTAATTTCAAATCAATCTCATTATCGCAAAATTTGCTAATTATTCTACGTAAAAAACTGTTAATTGGGAAATCCGTGCCATTATTTCGTGATTCAATATGGAAAAAATATTGCAAATTCATTTAAATTAATGAATTAATCAACTAATTTATATTACTACTTTATGTGATGTAGATTAGAATTCCCGTCAGTTAAAAACTGCATTGCTATCCTGAATATACTCATAATCCTGAATCAACAAACAATATCAGTCAAATCATCAAAATTGTGCACACCAAATTCCAACTTCAATAAAAATATATCCGAAATACAAAAAATGTCAATAACTTCTTGAATGACATCAATGATCCGTAGTGCGAACAGAAAACCATTATGATGAAATTACATGCTGAGAATCCATCGAAATTTCCTGTGGTTTTTGTTCGGTCGACGATTCTTTTAAGATCATTTTCTGTTAGCTATAGCGTCTACATATTGCCTCAAAACTGTCAAAATCTAAAGCACATTCATCAAAAAAAATATTAAAATATAATTTAAATCCATAATTTTTTTTTCTCGTTCCATTTCTCCATCATCTATAACATTATTCTGTCGTCAACATTCAACATAATCATTATCATCATAAAATTTATACCAACAACAAACAATAATGTAATAAAATGTAAATATATGTATGAAAAAAAGGGGACATCATGGCGATGGCTATAATTTTGATGGACCAGGAAATGTCTTGGCACATGCGTTCTACCCAGGCAGTCAGCGTGGTGGTGATGCTCACTTTGATGAAGAAGAAGATTGGCATCTAGATGATCGTACCATTGAGTCTGATGGGACGAGTTTGAAGAATGTTGCGATTCATGAATTTGGTCACAGTTTGGGACTCGGGCATTCATCTGTGAAGGGAGCTGTAATGTATCCGTGGTATCATGGATATCGTGGAGAAGGAGATCTTCCTGAGGATGATAAAATAGCTATACAACAATTATATGGAGCACGCGATGGGAAACAATGGGGACCGAATCCAGGACGTAGACATTATTATACATCTTCAACAGCCAGAACAACTCCTCGAACCACAACAACACGTCGTTACTATCCTGATAGACGAACTGAAGCAACTAGAAGGACAGGATATGAACATCAAACACGCAATCCAAATAATCCACGTTATTATCCAGCGGAAACAACTACAACAAGTACTACAACCCGAAAAACAACCCACCATCACCATCATCATCACCACAACAAGCCAGATACATGCAATACATCTTACGATGCTGTTACACTAATCAGAGGAGATATATTTATCTTTAAAGGACGCTACCTGTGGAGAATAGGCAATGACGGTCTTCTAAGTGGATATCCATACGAGATTACAAAAATGTGGAAAGACTTGCCACATGACATGACGCATGTAGATACAGTCTATGAAAATAAGAGAGGACAAATTGTTTTCTTTGTCGGTGAGTCAGCAAATTTCTCTTAATTAATTTAATTTCCAATTGATTTGTCAATGAATGCATGTCTACCTACTGGATTTATGAAATACATTTTTTTATCATTCATAGGACAACAAGTGTATGCCTTTGGAACGACAACATTGTTGGATGGCTTTCCAAAACCATTATCAGCATTAGGCTTGCCAGAAAACCTTAAAAAACTCGATGCAGCACTTGTTTGGGGTCATAATAATCGAACATACTTTTATAGCGGTAAGTATCGTCTATACAGTCCATTGTTTCTATACAATTTTTGTGTAAAGTTTAATGACTTGAATTACACATTGAGAATTAATTGATGGAAATACTCAAGTTACTGTATTTTGATATAATATAAATTACAAATGTGTAGCTACAATAAATAACCAACCCAAAAAAATAAATATTCTACTCGACAGGAACAATGTACTGGCGATATGATGAAGATGAAATGCATGTCGAGCTTGATTATCCACGTGATATGTCAATGTGGCGTGGAATTGGATATGATATCGATTCAGCTTTCCAGTACAAAGATGGTAAGTGACTATAAATAAAGCCTCGAAAAATTATTGAATAATATAATATGCGATAAAATTAATTTTGCTCTCGGACGTTTTATGGAAGTACTTTATGTTGTGTATGTCCATTTTTCACCCTCAAGTTATATTGGTTTTTGAGATTAATGGGGATTAAATGTGTCAGCTAGACATTGACCACGACAATGCTGAGATTTGTGGGGGGGAAATTAAGATGAGGACATAAATTTTGATGGGAAATTTGAGGAGATGGTTAATTTTGCCATTAATTCCTGAGATTAAATTGGATTTTGAAATTAATGGGATATACTCGCGAGTGCCAATAATAGAATAAGATATATCAAGGATCTGTTAAAGGCTATAAAAGAGGGGTTGAATCTTAAAATCCGATGATTGGCTACCCGCCTGTTGCAGAATCATGTCTTCAATAAAAACAAGTAATTTCAAGCACATGCTGCTTCTTTGACATCAATAACATCCTGTAATTCCATAAAATAACGAGCATTCTCTATAAATAATCAAATATCGATTTTTAACTCAATTTTTTTCCACATAAAATTTTCATCAAAAACATGTTTTGATCCCACACTTGCTGCATTCCTTCCCGAAATCTTCACAATAAAAAAAACGACATCAACAGGAAAGACATACTTCTTTAAAGGCAAGGGATATTGGCAATTTGACGATATGAGAATGCGAACATCACATGAATATCCAAAGCAATCAGCGTCACGATGGATGGGCTGTAAGCAGGCAAGACAGGAACACTGGAAATTTAATGAAAAACTTTTTGAAGAAGTCGGTGATGTAGACGATAAAAATGAAGATGAGAATAGTCGTGAAATTGAAGTATCTTCCACTACTTCCACATTAGGTTTAGTAAATAGAATTCTTATAGTTTCATTAGTCACATTTTGTAGTTTAATTAATCAATTAAAAATGACTTAAGTGTGGTGAAAAAGTTCTTCCAAAATTAATCAAAATTTTTACGAACGTTCCAAAAAAAGAATCACATTAAAGGATGTGAAAAAGATTTTTTTTTTCTTAGGTAGAATAAATAATGATTTTTGAATAATTTTTAAAGATGAGAATTTTTTTGTTCAGCTTAAAGATTATTTTAGTGCCATTCAATGATCTGATTAAGTATTTATTTGTGACAACTAATTTTTAAATCAAAGATTTTTCTATAATTGAATATTAGTAATTTTTAAAAATTAGGACAATATAAATGAAAAATAGAGAATATGAGGAACAGGAATACTGCCACATCTGAGCTGAATATTGGAGTCAAGAGTTATTTCTTGCGATCAGGCTTATAGCTAATAAGAGAGGTATCAATTTATAGTTGATGCTTCACTAAAATAGGTTCGAATGAACTTCGAGGTTTGGTCTTAGTGCTCAGAACATTGTGCAGCTCAGATTCTGATTTTCATGATGAATAGGAACTAGATTACATAGTGGTAATGTCGTGAGCATTGCTAAATCTTTGTCATATCAAGGAATCGAACCCACACCTTGAGAAAAGAGACGTTTGCAGATATTTAATCTGTTGTCTAACGACTTGTCTATAGAAACTTTATTGTAGCACTAGCAGTAACTCTAATATATATTTTGATATTCAAGATTCAACTCCGTTCAGACACCATTGCAATATTTTTACCAATTTACAATCATTTTTGTGTATTAAAGTAAAATGATTGATAAGTTTAAAAAAAATCAGTTCATAAATCAAATAATTTCTAGCTCTACAATCATCACTATAGAACTTTTCATCACATTTTTAACTCTCCACATAAAGTAATATTTTAAAAAACACTCAAAAAAATTGTTCCCGCTTGTAAATTAATGTGACAATGTTTATAATAAACATGTGAAAGAATGCACATAATTTTTTTTTTATACATTTACCAATTATAATATGAGATGAAATTATCTTTATATACTTATACATACATTTACATTGCTTACTGTGATAAATTATTATAAATAATTTTTCATTCTTTTTGACTTATTTTTAAAAGAAGAAAATTTAAATTTTTAAGCAGAAATAAAAGAGAAAAAATCAAAATTAATTGCTGTTAATTTAATATTTGTGGGTTATGGAACCGATTTCTTGAAATCGCCACTGATCTCTTTTTTTCAGATTTTTAAGATGTCATTTCAGATTTTTCAGATTTATTTTTTGCCATTTGTCATACTTCCTTACTTTCTTGGCTAGGACGCACGTGGGCCACTTGCCACGTTCAGAAATCGTCTAAAGACAGCTCTATCCTTCGAGACCTTCTGCCAGTTCGAGATATTAAGGACTTTAGCGTCCTTATCAAAACATTCAATCCTTCTTTTGTGATAGTTTTGGTTGATGTCAACGAATTTTGGAGATAAACGTGGTCAGTCATAGTTCAAATATCTGAACAACTTCAAAAATAGTCTGTCTATCGATTGTTGTTCAAAAAGAGAGTAAAATGAGCAGTTGCACAGTCTTCATTGAATCCTTTATCTCCCAAAATAATCAATTTACCTTAATAATCAAGCATATATCCATAACATTCACAATTCAATAACCACTGAAGCCTTTTCAGCTTTTAAATCAGATTTTTCAACACAATAAAAAATCAGAATTAAGGATATACAATTCAAAAAAAATCAGATTGTCATAATATACATCCTGCCATCCCTCAAAAAGTTGTCCAATAAATGTCATCAAAATAAAGTTCATTAATCGGCTAAAAGAAGCCAATCGAAGGCTATACAGCACACCAAAAAAATGAAATGAAAGCCCATCAAAAACACATGTCTATTTAATTAATGACGTTAATAGGTTTCTTTATTTGTACAGCAACTGTTTTTTTCGTTTAAATAAAACTTTATTTATTTTTGTTGTTGGACTCGATAGTTGCTCCTCATTGCGAATGCAGAAAAATGTTAAATTATTAATTAGTCTTCAATTGAGTTGTGGAAATTGGGCTACAAAAGAATGAAAATGTGTTAAATTATTTTTGAGCATTGTCGTTAAATATTAATAAGGTTTTGGTTGAATAAATATTTTTAAAGGATTTCCTCGGACACAATGAATTTGGTTGAACATTTTCGTGAAGTTTTGAGGATAAAAAGCTTGATTTTTAATTGAATTCAGGTCAATCTAGTTTGTTGAACTAAGTTGCACTATATAAGCTAATTCTGTGCTTTAATAATCTTTTACATCCTCGAAACTTGTCATCACATAAACTCGTACTTACAAATTCAATCAAATTTATTTCATGAATTCAGCAGCATCACACGGCTTTTCTTCACTCTCAGGTTCATTGTCACACTTTTGCAATCCATGGACATTTCCCAACAAAAATGTCATTAAAACTGCAAAGATGGCAACATAGAATGCAAATAATTTCATTTTGCTGTAGATGAAGTCGGCGATACCTTATTGAGAACACGTTTGATTAAAGACTGATGAGTACAAACTGTAGGATGGAGTAGGATGTTCAATAAGTTTGTTTTATCAGGTGTTTAATGGGATGCTGGTTCAATAGTTATTGGGCAAATAATATTTGTGACGTATTTTCAGATCGTTTTGAGAAATTTATGGGTCTGGATCAGAATGTTACGTACTGATGACACTGATTTAGAATTTGAGTTGTTGAAAATATTTTCTAAAGCATAACCGTCAAAATAATTTTAAAAATATAAAAAAAATTCAAATTTTTTCGAACCGTTATATAACATTCAGCACTCACTCAATATATTCCTTTTCTTATTTAGAAGCTATGTATACTTTGAATGTCTGGCTAGCTTTAAATCTCAGCAGAAAAATCAATTAAATATTTCAATTAGACCTTTTATAAATGTTATGTTCAAAACCTTAAGTAAGCATTCAAATCCAAATTTCAAATAATTTTATTTTTTTGCTGTCAAAATTTTTAAGTATGACTGTTTCCTATTCAGAATCTATAGCGACTTCAGATACTTTCACATTCCTTAAACTATTGCTGCGTTGGAAGGCATCTGTGTATAAATTATTATGGAAGGATTTAATATTTTTTGTGCTTCTTTTCTATTTAATTCGAGTCATTTACATGATCATGCCAAATTCTAATCAAAAACAATTTGAATCATTTGTTCATTATTGTGAAAAATATGCATCTTCAGTTCCTTTATCATTTGTTCTTGGGTTCTTTGTTTCAACTGTTATGTCACGTGAGTTTGATTACTCGAAAGCTATCCTTGCTCAGTTTATTGACAATTCCCTCATCTTCATTTCAGGTTGGTGGAGTCAGTTCCAAAACATTCCATATCCTAATACATTGGCTGTTTTAGTGTCGTCTTCATTGCAAGGATATGACGAAGAAGGACGTGCCATGTACTGCATATAAATTTGATATCATTTTTTGTTTCTAAAAGCAATTTTTAAATTTAGGAGAAGAACAATCATGCGATATGCTTGTCTTAGCCTTACGTTGATTTTTAGAGTTTTATCGCCTAGAGTAAAAAGCAGATTTCCAAAACTAAAGGATTTAGTAAGATCAGGCTGACTTTTGGATGATGAGCTGTACATGCTTGAAGAGCTGGAAGAGAAGTTTCCTGGTAAAATTAATTACTTAATTTAAATCAGTTTCTAAAAGAATTTCAAGTTCTTAGGATATAGCAAGAGTTGGCTTCCTATCATATGGGCAGCAAATATAGTATCAAGAGCTAGAAAAGAAGGAAGAATCCGCAATGATTTTTCTGCAAATGAAATCACTAATCAATTGAATATCTTTCGTGCACAATGTACAAAGTTAATGAGGTAGGTTTAAAATGTTCTCGGATTAGATTAATATTGACTAAACTTAAATTTTATCCATCAAAAGCTATCACTCAATCCAAATTCCTCTGGTCTATGTTCAAGTTGTAACAATTGCAGTCTACTTTTATTTCTTCACAGCATTGTTCGCAAACCAAGACACAAGAAAGACTGAATCAGATTCTATTGGATTTGACACATTTGGTGCACATCCGATTATTCTGACACTTGAATTTATCTTTTATATGGGATGGATGAAAGTCGCAGAAGCTCTTTTAAATCCTTTTGGAATGGATGATGATGACTTTGATGTTAACTCGATGATTGATAGGAACTTACAAATGAGTTATTTAATTATTGATGATATGCATAATGAACATCCCGTTTTGTTAAAGGATCTTTATTGGAATGGAATTCCACAATCATTGCCTGATAGAACAAAAATATTATTTCCTGAACCAGAAGAATTGGATGCTGATATTATTGACTATGACGTATTATCACGTAAAAGTGTTTTTGGGAGAGTTTCGGTGTCGATTAAGAAGAACAAGAAGATTTACTTGAATGATAGAACTGTCAGGTTTGAAAGTGATTCCAGTCTGATTCCCGATCCCAATCATATTAGTGATATTTATAATAACCATCCCAATGTACAGTCAGAGCAATTGACTTTAAACAAAGAATTAGAAGAACAGCGTCGTTTATCCAAGCAAGATGCAAACAACCTTTAACCAGAGATTAATCAAAATAAAGACTAAGTTTTCTTAATTTCATCCAAAAATCGAGCTTATTACAACATTTTTACATCCTTTGTTGTCAAATAGATTCCTAGATTATACTGCTTTATTATTATTATTATTATTATTTATTTGTCGACGTTACCGTCCGGAAGGATTAGTATTTATACATGTTTTACTTTTTACATTGATTAGTGATGCATTTCATATCACTATGGGTGACGTAGAATCAAGCTTCTAATCTTCAAATCTAGGTTTCGATTAAATTCAGGCTTTCGTTTCAATCTTCTGTGGGCGTGACATGATACATTTCAGGTCCGTTCTGACAATATTCCATTATAAGGTAATCTTGTAGCTTTCGTTCCTATTTCTCCCGCTACACTTCAAGTTCCTGATCCGTTCCTTAATCCAAGGTTGCCCAAAATGCCCAATTATGGCTTGATCTCGTATTTTAAGCAGTCGAAATATCTAAACTTCTGAAAAAGAACAAATTTGGAAATGGCTGGATTCGAACCGACGACCTTCGAGTTACCATACCAAATTTGAGCCAAGCGCTTTACCTATTCGACCAGCAAGGCACTTAACTGTTTGTAATCGAAGAACTGATTAATCCACATTATTAACACAATTTTGTAGTCACAAGGAAAAGTATATAGCAAGCATGCCTGAAACTTTACAGGGTTCAACCATACATTTATCAAATGCCAGGGTTCAAACAATAATAAGAAAACAAGAGACAGAGAAAGAAGATACTTCAAAAAGTAAGAGAGACAGGAACTTAAAAAAAATTTATTTTTAAAAAAATAAGAAGTCAATCAAAACATCTGAGATAATGACGACGATGGAGGAATTCGCGTTATGTTGGAATAATTTTACTGATAATATAGCAAGTGGCTTCTCTTCACTGCTGTATCGTGGCGATCTATGTGATGTGACGCTAGGTAATTAAATTTAATGATAATGGTTCGACATTTTTTTTCACAAAATGGTTTTGCTCTTTTTAGCCGTCGATGGAAAGCTACTTAAAGCTCATAAAATTGTACTATCAATATGTAGTCCGTACTTTCAAAAGATGTTTATTGAAAATCCTTGTCAACATCCGATTATAATTTTAAAAGATATGAGTTCAAAATTGGTATCTAATTTACTGGAATTTATGTATCAAGGATCCGTGAATGTGAAGCAGGTTGAGTTGCAGGCATTTATGAAGATTGCAGAGACACTCCAAATAAAAGGACTAACAACTAGCTCGAAAAAATCCAAATCTGAAAATAGCTCAAGTACTAAACCCGAGGAATCAGAAAGCACCACTGGTAATATTCAGTGTCTAATCCTATACATTTGCTAATAATTTATTTATTTTAGCCACAAAAAGATCACTTGGTTCCGATGAAGCTACTCCTCCCAAATTAAAAAGTCAAAAATCGGAACCGCCAGATGAGGATGTTCAAGACTTAACGAATGACGATGACATTGAGGCACAAAGCAATGAAGATTTACTTATGGCAGTTCCTGAAATTTCGATGATTGAGTCTCGAATGGATACAAATAGTACAAAGTCACGAGAATCTACAGATGGACAAAACTCGTCCACAAGTTTGCGTATTTCCAGTAGTCAGACATTGAATGTGTTCAGTCCATTTGATTATCAGAATGAGCCGATACAATTGATGGAATCGACAAATAAACCAAACTCAATACTTGACATTCCAATTAGTTCTGGATCTGGTTCCAACATTACTATGCTATCATCCACAAGCTTACTACATGGCAATTGTATATTTAATAGAAACAACACAGTGGCAACGCAGCAAGGCTTAAAAACTTACTGGCTTTGTAAAAGCTATAGAATCTCAATGTGTAAGGCACGATGCATAACGCATCAAGGAAAAGTTATATCTGCAACTGGCGTTCACAATCACTTGCCACATATGAATTCAAAGCAAGATATTCCACCAGGACATACTCCAAACATTTGTAATCCACCAATGAGTGAGTTTAGTTCCATGCCATCTGGATCATCTTCGTCGTCATCGCATAATATGCATAATAATCCAGCACAGCATTTAATGATGCCACAACCGTATCATCCGTACATGCATCACGGAATTTCACAGCAGCAACACGAGAATCATCACCAGGAACAAAATTTAAGGCTTCCAGTCATGCAAATATCACCGCAAACAAGTCACGAGAACAAAATAACTTTTAATTCGTCGGAAAGTGGCAATTTGGCGGCACCACAGCTTAAATTTGAGCACATTTAGTCAAATTAAAATGTTTTATGGCATTTAGAAATTAATTTTAAGGTCGCTTTAAGTGTTGAGTGCAGAGTTTTTGATTATTCTAGAGAACTGGAAGTGAGATTATTGAGAGAAGTCATAAAAATTTCTTTCATTAACCTCCGACTTCTTTAACTATGAGTCGATTGTAATTTTAGACTACGACAACAAATTATACGTAAACAGCTATTATTAAAGATTTATGACTATATAAAAAAATAATTAATATTGAATAGCTATGGACCAATCTGTGGGCAAAAATACTTTGTGGCTTAACAGTTTAGTCCAAAGTTATTAGAATTAAATTTATTTAGTGAGATCTTATTGATTATGAACATACATGTGATTCTTTAGATGCAGTTTCTCGTAGAATTTCTTATCGCACTGTGTACATTCGTACAAAATAGTCTTGTGAAACGTTGCTGTATGCTTATCAAGCTGAATTTGAGAGCTGCACACTTTTGCACATTCTTGATATTCACAGATAAATTTGGGATGGTATCGATTGATGTGCTGCTCGAGAAAATCTAGATTTGGACATATTTTCTCACATTCTTGGCACATAAATTCAGTTTCCTGGTTCACTTGCTCTTTAAGCACTTCTTGATTTAATTTTCGTTTTCTCTTTTCGAGCTGTCTTGGGACATGAAATACTTTTTTAATTGGTTCTGGATCCTTTTTCGGGAGACAATAATGCAGAAATTCTGGTTTCACAATATCCTCTAATCTCAGTTCTTCCTCGTCCTCGTCATCTGATGTTTCTTGCACAATTTCCTCATCTACTTCCTCTTCGACTATAATCTGTTCATCATCGTCCTCTCTTAATTCAATCTCTTCATATTCTATGACATCATTTTCTTCTTCTGCTATTGAATTCTCAGCATTAAGTAGCAATTGTTCCAATCTCTGATGATTTTCAATGTATCTTGATCGATATGATGAATAGTTTGTTAATATCTCGTAGCAATCATAACAGATGTACGATGCTAGTAAATTAGATGCAGGAAGCTAAAAGATACAAGAAAATTAACATCCAGCTATTGACAACTCATTAATTAATGCTTACATTCAGTTGTGTCATTTCAAAAAACTTTATTTCAATATTATTGTCAATTTCCACTTTTGCTAGCGTTATTTCCTCCAAACAGCAACGACATCTGTCCAAATAGCTTTCAATGTGCTCGTCCATTTCTATTTATATGCTTTAAATAGACTTTAATTAATATATTTTGAAGAAAACTTGAAATTGTTAAAAGTAAACAAAATTCTGTTTACATTTTCTAGATTTGCATCAAGGGCGTTTGATTTTTAAAAAGTCGTTAATTTTTGTGTTGATTTTGCATTTATCAGCATAGCTTCAGATGCTATGGCATTGTTATACATTTAAAACTTTTTACAAAGCAATGTCTAGTCTTTTAAATGTTTTAAGTTGGATAATTAAAAGAGATTTGTTTATAATTCAACGAATTTTTCGAATTTGAAAATTATTAAAATAATCTGCTCGGAATTTCAAATCTTAAAAAATAACGGAACTTTTAACTCTGGAATCCAGTATAATAATCTACTCTAAAGCCACAGCTACATATAAATTACGCAATAAATAATCTGCGATCTACTTAGAGATAATTTATTGATTAATTCAAAGTTGACAGAAGAATGAAAATCGATTAACTTTCAATCAATAATATAAAAAGTCAAAACATGCCTGCCAACATCATTGTCCAAATTCACATCTATGTGCCCAAGCATTTTTAACAAATTGAACACGTGAAAGTACATCAAAACAAACCGATCGCAATATTTATTAGAGATCTTATCATTGCATCATTCATTTAAAGAAAATTAATTAATTTAACGAGTAATGCATAATCGACTCAAGATCATATCAACATTTCAGGCATTTAATAAGTCCAAACATTCTCCCTAATTTCATAAAAGCTTTATCGTATTACAAACAAAAATTCCGATTTTCTAAGAGGAGGTAAATACATGAAAGACAAGTTGGTTTCGCACATGATTTAATTAATTAACGACATATTGCAATTGCAAAGTCGCTAAATAGCTGTAGCAAATGTATGAAAATTCAAGTTCGACTGTCTACGGTGGATTTTAAGATTTATGCGCACTTTGGGGCTTTAAGTGTTAGAAATTTAATTTTAATCATCAATGACATAGCCAAGGGGGTCCGATGGGTACAAAAATTATATATTCCATGAGACCCAACACCCCCCCCCCGCCCCCCTCCTGCATGTTTTTTCTTATTTAGTGACATTGATTTTAAGTTTCCTGAAGATTTTATTATCCAAGATCATCAAAAGCATTAAAGCCATAACGATTGTCTACTGAAAGACAAAAGAAACAGCTCCAAAGCATGTCCATAAAAAGTACAGCTAAAAAATTGAATTAAAATTAATTTAATAATTTTTCTTAAAGCAATGCACATTCCAAAATACTTAATGTTGTTTCCATTTTCCCCTCTGCACCTGTCATTAGTCTAGTTGTTGTTGATATTTCGCAACTTTTTGTGCGTTGACTTTGAGCATAAATTAAATACAAGCTGCACATTGACGGTGGTGCAGACTCATTAAATGCCTTTTAATATCATTAAATGGCAACTAAAATGTTTTTTTTTTTATGAATCGAAAGTATGTAAGTTAATGGCTTAACTTATTACGGAACCATTTTTTTTGAGGGGGGGGGGGGTCTTTGTGGAAAATAGAAGAATTTTTTATTCTTTTTAAATTTATGACAGTTGATGGGGGGCGCAGGGTATCAAAAATACATAAGTAATAAATGAATGGTCCCTTACTTAGATTTATTAATTATTGACTAATATGACTAAGCAGCTGTGTCGGTGAATGTTGATTTACTTATTTAAATTAATCAAATACTTTGGGTCAAGTGCAGTGGCATTAAATATGATGTTTGTGCAGTTTATTAATTGATATTTTGCTTGAATTTAGTGTCAATTAGAATTTTAATACTGGATCTAGTGCTATGGATTGGTATCGACTGTATTTTGTCAATTAATAAATTGAAAAGTTATTTGATTCATTGAAGATACTAAAAACCAACAATTCAGCTCACTGGATCTTTATTAAATGCTCAAAACTCAGTAATTATGCTTGAAACTCTTTGTTAATTCTAATCCAGTAATTCTGGATGAGCTCAGTAAACCCATGAAACAAGATATTACAAGATAAAGTGAATGTTAAGAACATAAATGGTCATTTCAAAATTGAGGTCACAACACGCACGTGTAAATTGACTCCACTGCTTTATATGACTTAATTGTTAGATCCACTTTGGCGTAAATCCGATTAGACACTCAACACGCCAATATTCAATTAAAATGCAAAGTTTTTTTTCCACCTTAATATTTTTAAAGGCGTAAAGCATCGAAAATTTTCTGCATAATCCGATGGAAAATTCACTTTCGTTTTCCAAAGGCAATAAGGCAGTAAGAGTTTGTATTTATTTGCTGGAAAGATTCCATCTGTAGTCATTAATATGCGTGTAGAATTTCATATTTATTTTCCTAATGCTGTACATTTTATATTATTGGTGCTATTATCTTAAAATGATCAGGAATTTCTCATGTTTTCGAGCTGTAAATGCAGTAAATGAAGTGTATTTGGATGAGATAACTCAATCCCTTTCTGGCTACACTCCTGGTAACATTACAACTTTTAAATCTGTCCAAACAGAGATCAAATATCAATAAGTGAAAGAAATGACAGCAACAATCATGCCTTATTCTTAAATGAACATTTTAGTTTACATTCAAAAATGGTCAAAGTTTAAAAATTCGCTTTATTTCCTAGACTTGACTTTTACAATTCTATATGCTATTTTAAAAGTTCATTGGAACAAGGTAGCGGAAAAAATTGTTTAATGTACAGACTTTAGTAATTAAAAGCCACTAAAAATTTAAATTTATAATTCTGATGCAGTTTTTTAAGTTTTATAGCTTAAAGGTCTGATTGCCTTGAAGTTTAATTTAATTACATATCAAAATACAACATTTGCTGATTTAATTATTAATTCCATGTTCATAAACATTTCTTTTTAGCTTGGAAGCATCATTACATGTTGATTTTGTTCTAAATTAAATTTTCCGAAGATTAAAATTGAAGTTTTTTATTTGGAAACTTCCAAAACTTTCGTAAATATTTCAATTATTTTAAATCCAACTCCAGAGGTCAGTCTGTGATCATGATTTTTTAAAATCTGTGTTAATCTTGTGACTTTATAAATATTTTCAAATAATACCTTAATCGAGATTGAATTTAGCACGCACCCCGAGCATTTATTTGCATTATAATACTATAGCCACATATCTATCACCTTTCCATATACTTATTTCAAGTCTATTAATTTAAGTATTGCACACCCGTTTTGCTGAATTTCTGCATTAAATACAATCGAATTTCATTTCTTTTCTCTCATTTGGAATTTCATGAATAATTTATTAAAATGATAAATTTTTCACTAAACTATTTTTTCTCGCATATCTCGTTACGTTTGCTAGCATGAGGTTCCAATCACATTTCATTGAACAAAATTCGCCATAGAATTTACATTTCATTATGCTGAGCTATGACAGTCGAAAATTGTTAAAAGGTCTGTGAAAATATCACAAATTGACATGGAGAGGTAACCGAGTAATTGAAACAAGCGTGAATAATTAATCAATTGCTGCTTTGACATTAGAACTAATAGATATAATTGAATTTAGGAAAGCAGAAGTTGGAATTTATGGAATTTAAAGCGAATTTTAAATGAAATCTTCCAATTCAATCTAAAATTATCAACAGTCATTTAAAATTTGAATTAGTTGATTCCCCTCTTGAAGTTGCAAGCCCCAAAGAAATATTTTTATGTTTTGAACTTCAAAGGGGCCGTTCACTTATCACGTTCACATTTTAGGGGGCAGGGGAGTTTGAAAAATTGTAACAAAATGTAACATAGGGGGAGAGGGGGTGTCAAGAATTATGTAACGTTCTAACTGTCGTCTGCCTTTTAATAAAAAGTTCACGAAAAAAAAATTTTGGGGGACGGGGGGTTGTGAGTTGTAACATATTGTAAAAAGGGAGGGAGGGGGGGGGGGTGAAAAAAGTCGTTTTTTTCGTAACGTAATAAGTGAACGGCCCCAAAGAACTTTCGTAATTAATTACAATCCGTAGATTTAACAATACTTATTTGTAACCCAGCATTGTTATGATCGTGCAAGAATACTTGCACTTCTACCTGGGCTATCCATTAAAGCTCAATTTCATAACTCTGCATCAAAACATTAAAAAACTCAAATTACATTTTATGTCCACAAACAACATTTAATCTACACCAGTCACTAATCCATTCAGTCATGTCCAGACTATCATATCTTAAGATCTCTAAAAAGGCTTCCAAAAGAGCTCAAAATGCAAATGAGTCAGCATCAGTTAAATGAGTATGACTAATGCCACAGCGAATATACTTTTCTTCTTAAGTTTTTTGTCTAAATTCAGCCTTCAAACTTTGCATGCGGTCTCTCGCATTGTGTGCTATACAAACCAACAACTTTGTTGTCAATTGATATATGCGAAAATTTATGAAATGTGTGCGCAAAATTGACGTAAACAAGCAAGAATGAGCAAAAAGGATTGGCGGAATCAATAAGAAAACGAATACGCTACATTCACGCATTTATGCTGCTTTGATTAATACAAAGTTCCATTGCGAATATGTTTTTTAATTTTTTTTTTGAGGGCAGTGCAGGCATTAGAGGAATTACATGTGTTATTTTTTTTTTGTTGATTTGTTGTCTCTTGGGTCTACTGAAGCATTTAATAGAAATGTCGAAACTATATTGGCAACTGGCTGTCTTATGAGCTATGTAATTAAATGAAAATCAACACAGACAACACAGATTTGTTTTCAGGCATTTTAATTATATACAACATGACATTTTGACTTCATTCCAATCTTTTTTTTCTTCGCTGTTGTTATTGCTCTCTTCATCGCAAGTGCTATTGATCAGCCTTAATTTACACGAGATCGCGTCATTAAATTTACGTGGAGTTGACAAAATTGTAACATGCTTTAAATGGCAAAAACTTCCTTTGACGTTAGATTATTCTCACATGGATTAACAGCATCGCTAATTAATGAGACACATTAAGTTAAAAGCTGGCTGGAAAATGTGAAGTTTTTGGATCAAGCACTTTTGGAAAATCACTACACTTTGGGATATAAACAAACCTGCCTCTGGTGTATGCAAATTCTGAATTGACTT